CGTGGCGAGTTCAGATTGAACCTGGGTTGGGGATGGGACCAGCCTAAACATTTCATTCTCACGGACGTTGCTTCACGACCGTGGAAGGGCATCTCTCAACAAAAAAGGAAGTTTTTCATGGAGTTGGAGACGAGAGGGGCAATCTGGAAGACAAAATGACTGAAGCTGAAGCCGGAACTTGCTCAAACTCTCATGCTACTAGTACTGCAGGTACAATCTGGGAGTCCTTCTGCTGATGCAGCCGAGAAAGACGGAGTCAGACCTGCATCAGGCTTTAGAGTTGCTAGTCTGCGGTTCAGATCTGCGGTCGTCCAGTTGGCGATGCGACTGCTTACGGCAGACGCCGTTATCGAGCTCGACTTTCGTCGGGTCCTTCGTCCAGTCTTGCTTAGTCGGTTGTTGGCATATGTTGGCTTCTGTGATGCCAGAGAGCTGCTACAAGGTTTCTTCAAGGCACCGCGGCAGCAGTCAACGCAGTCTGGGATCATGTTTGATCCTGCTGAAGAGCGTCTCGCGCTCTGGAGGTGTTCAACTGGGGAAGCGGCAAGTGTCACTTTCTTCTGCGGCTTCTGGCTTTCTGTCTGAGGGAGCTTGGCGAGCACACCCAGCCCCTGGGCGCATCGGCTCTGCGAATGGATCAAAGAGCAGCTGCAGGAGGAGCTGATGTTCTATCTCTTGACACTTCTTACTTCTTAGCTGCAGCTGGTGGCAGGAGTCCACACCTGGACTGAAATACCAGTGCCAAGAGACAGCCGAGCTCTGGCATTAATTTTGCAGAAAGCTACTCTTTGCTCCAGAGCGGCGGAATAAATTCTCGATGTTTTGGACCCCCTGCAAACTGCAGGCAACATGGAACGAGCGATTCGATCCAGCGGAGGAGGAGCAGGAGGAGGAAGCCGACATTACCCAGAAGCGACAGACAGAATTCGATTCCTGGCTTTGCTTTACTTGAGGTTCTCCCGGGAACACATCAGGCCACTTGCATTTGGCCTTTTCAGTCCTGGTCGTCACATGTGCATGAGCTCGATGTGTCAGCAACCATGCAGCAGTTTGCAGTTTCCATAAGCTGTGATCAAGAAGGACCATTGCCACCACTGTTTCAGCCCAGGAAGAAGCGATCATGCGCGTAAGGAGCTCCATGCGGGGCAGTGAAAATGCCGATCCTGCGGCGGCAGACGAGGAGCGATCCTTTAGTTGGTTTTGTTCGCAGCGGCTACAGTAGCCAGCTCGTGGGCCAGCATATATATATATATATATATATATATGTTGGGAGTGTCAGTTTGCTGAGTGGTGTTGCTCGACACTCCACCAACGTATGCCAAAAAGCGAAGGAGCCTCGTGCTGCCACGGTGGGGTTCGCGAGATCAAGCACGGCCTCTTGCATCGAAGAAGCTGCGAGGCATGTCGTTGCTGTGAAGCTCTGGGCTCGTCCGGAAGTGTGTCGTCGCGTTCAGCAGTTTTTGCTTGCAGAAAGTCACCATTTGAGCGGCGCATCTACGCAGCTGTCGGAAGTTTAAGGGCATCGAAGCACGTTACAGTCTTGGCCAATACACCTGCAAATATCTGGCCTTGCAAGGTCGAAGCTTTGTCCAGTGTCCTCAACTCGCTGAAGCGCCAAGGTTCTACTTCGGCGTCGCAGGCGCGGTAAGTTCGGTATGACAGGACTCAAGGGTTTGTGCCCTTCCGCCTCCTTGCTTGAAGGCGCCGACTCGAGCCACGGGCGCCTCGCTGGAGCAGAGGAGGCGGCGAAAGCTTCAGCGTGCCTACCTCGCCTCGAGGCCGCTCCGCTCAGCCTCTGACCTCGTGTGTGTAGCACAGTACACAAAGCTTCGTGCTCTTGCCAGGCACGGCAGCCACATGTGTCGCTTACGACGCCTTCCTGTGCCTTGACACAAACCTATCGCAACAGCCGGCCCGAAGCCACTTCAAGTAGCTCAAGGCACGTCGAGCAGAGGAGCCCAACTCGAAAGTTACAGTTACTCGTCGGGCTCAGTTGAGACGGGGCCAACAGTGTCGTGCATTGGTTCAGTCAGGGGCGTTTAAATAGCAGCGAGACCCTGTGAAGAGATGATTGCTGATTCCGCTAATTCCTAAACTCGGTAAGACGAGACACCGGGAATACACCTTTAATCTGCCTATTTGATACTGTCAAACGACGGGACACCCCAATTCCAAGGACACGTCGGGCATGAACAAGTAAATTTAGCCCCATCTCAGCTAGTCTTTCATACTCTTTGACTTCATGCTGAAGCCAGGCTTTTAGCAGAGGCATCTCGCAAGCAAGTTACGCAGGTCCTCCTGCACTGTGGGACTGGAACCTCGGATGAGATCCCAGAGGCCCGTGCATGAGAAGCCGTCGGCAATGTAAGAGCCAGGGGGCCTCATCCTGCCTGAGCCTCCGATTCTTCGCCCGTCTTGATCCCTTGGCCCCTTTCTGCCAGCCCGCACCGGCTCCGGTGCCTCGGCTGCGCATTTCGAGCCTCGAGGCGGTGCTGCACTTTGCAACTTGGATCAACTTGCAGGGGGGTTCGGGAAGGCGGGGCTCCAACCTGACAAACCACATGACATAGAACTCACCATAGACCTTCCCGTCCACTTTGCTGAAGTCGGTCTTGTTGAGCTTCCAGTTTTTAAGTCTGGGAAGTTCATGGCTTCCCGGCGGAGATTTCGCGCTTTAACACTTTTGGTTCAGGTTGTGGCTCTTGCTTGCATAGGCGTCATCCAGATGAGAGTGCGATGTGCAGCTCAAGAGCCCACTGTGACCGCCGGGTGTCGAGAAATACTCAGTCCGAAGCCATGCCCTGCATGACGCAATCAGGGTCACAGCTTATCCATGGTTGCAAACGGCGCAAGCCATGTTTCTGCTAGGCCTCGCAAGAGTTGTTAGGGAGAAATTTCACAAGGTCTCAGTGCCGGCTGAAGGGATTCACCAGACTGACCTGGAGCTTTGCTCGGTGCTCTGGATACTTCTGCCTCTTGGCCTGCGTTGGATTGAAGTTTGTCCACCCCACATCCCTTCAAGGGTCCATCGAGTCCAGTCTCACAGATGCCACCGAATGAGATAGAGTCCTAGAGACAAACCATGTGAAGTGGACGCGAGTTCTGGGAGGTATTTCGGCTTGCGGCGGTGCCATCCTGGATTCCAGAAGCTGAAGCCGAGACCCGAGACACTCAGAAGATCTCAGAATCTCCCAGAAGCAGTGGGTTGAGTTGGCTGCTCTCCTGCGACAATTAAAGCTGAGCTCATTGACAGCTCCTTGAGAAGCTCTGAAGCTCTGTTGGAGGTAAGCATAGGAGGCGGTTTTCCGGCCGTTCCGCAGGTCGACTTTGAGTGCTTCTCCTGTGCCTGCCTGTCTTGGCCGCCTGCCGCAGTTGAGGTTTCGGACGGAGGGCGGACCATGTAAGGCCGAACTTGTAAACGAAGGGGCACGATACGGCATCGACGGCTGAACCGTGGTCAAGAATCACTCGCAAGTCGAAAGCTCTCACAATTTTTAATGCCACCTAGCACTGAGGCATCGTCCGTCATTTTGGGTACGGAAGTGGCTGCACGCTGCGAGATTCCAAGAAGAACCTGGAAGACGTGCTCTTTCACGGCCTGCCTCACAGCTCATGTTGGAGTAACCTGCTCAGTAGGGTCTGAAAGAAGAAATGTGGACGCAGCATCTGCTGCTTGCACTTAGTTGCTCTGCCTGACATGCCTGTCCTCTGCCAAGAAAGGATAGCACAGTGGGACCACCTCGGCTTGTGGATCCATCTGTACAGCATTGTGTACAGCATTGCATGCGTCCGCATCGCTCGCTGAGGTCAACCATTCGGGGTGACCAGCTGGCACTGGTGCGTGGCTTCGCCTCCGAATACTCAAACGCGGGTCTTCCCGAAGCTTAGAGCGCAGTTGAGTCTTGCAAAAGCGGGGCTGGATCTGAACCATGCCCCTGCCCTGCCTGCTTTGCCTTTGACAACGTCGCTGAGGAAGAAGATCAGCTAGCTGTCCTGGATCGACGCATCAAACAGCTGGAACTCGTTTTGGCGACTCCTCCCAAGGCGCGAGGGAAGTGCACACGGGCTGAATCATATAAGAGGCTTTGGCTTCAGTCTGGTTCCTTCAGTGCTGGGCGCCAGCGCCGTGGCACTGGCTCCTCCAACCTCCAGCGCGCCAAGAACTCGAGAATTTCGCGACCCCAGCTAAGCCTTCCAATTGGTCAGGTTTATCTACAGCAGGGCCACGCAGCACTGCAGCGTCATGGCCCACTATCCAAGGCCTTGCTTGCCGGCGAGCGAACAGCTGCTGTTCTGTACCTAGGGCTCTGCCTCTGTCGAGGCAATTGCCAGCCAGGCCATCGACGAGCATGCGTTTGCAACTGTGAGTGGTGGGTCGGCGGGTGAAGGGGGGAGGCGACGGGTATACTAGAGTGACTCTGTCTACTTCCCGAATTCAGTGGATGTATGAATTTCCCCTGCACGGAGGCGCCGTCCCACACGATGGTCCCACCGTCTGTCCAACGCAGCCGAAAAGGAAGACTAATGCGCGGGGAGAAGGCGGAGCAGCTCGGCAGGCGCAAGCCGCGGTCTGACGAGGGCAGAGAGGTTCTGGAAGTAGGCAGTTGATGAAGATCCGCAGCGACACCCCCATCGTATCCCATAACCTTCTCAACAAAAGAATCGTCGGGAACGTTTTCTCATTCTGCGTGACATGGTCTCACCGAAGCAGCCGGCTAAAACAGTGGCTGCGTGACCAGTCGCCGCTCGACCAGTTGCAAAAGAGGTGGCTGATTGTGGTGCAAACGATCGTCGGAGTTTTATCGCGTCTCAGCCTTCTGAGGTGAATTATAAGATTCGTCTTTGGAATTATTAGAACACATTCTCAAAAATAGAATCACAGCTTGCCAATGTTACTGTCAAGATGAGCTCCCTGTTGCATAGGAGCATTTGCACCTTGTGGAATCTGTCCATATCGTCCTTGGACATGAACCGAGCCCAAGCTGAGCCAAGCTTGCGAGGAACACCATCTCCAAGCTCAACCTCGTGGATCTGGCTGGCTCCGAACGCAATGATTCAGAAGAGCGGAGTCAGGTAAAGGCAGGACGATGAGTTTTGTTCTGCAATCATGTCTGTTTTCGTGTTCGACGACCCCATGTGACACAAGACACGCCTGAACTCCTTCCCGTGAGTCTTATTATATAGGGCCATGCTTTGGGTGCCAGTTGGGTTCCAAGAAGCACCAAAAAATGGCTGCCAAAACTGCTTCAGTCACAGAGAAGGTCCTGTTTGACACGAATAGAATGCGCACGCACCTGCATCACTGTGGAGAAGGGTTCATGACCCGTGTCTATGATTGTAGCGTGGGTATGCGGGACAACCTCTGGACCTCAGATGCTTTTTGAGAGAGAGAGAGAGAGAGAGAGAGAGAGAGAGAGAGCAACAGCTCCAAGCGTCCAGGAAGGCGCCAACATCAACAAATCCCTCAGCGCACCTTGCATGCACAGAGTATCTCCGAGAATACAGGGAGCTTGTTCAGCTGCAAGCGAGCAGCACTAGGTCACTATAGGCACTAGTGTGTTGCTTCTGGCAACCAGATGCTGTGGTGATCACCATACGAAGATGCCTGTTGCTTGTCCAGACTTCATAGCCGCTCGGTCATGTGCTCAAGCTTCAACATAGGGTTACCGTCAGAGCACCGTCGCACTCTCCTGCGGCGCCATCGAGGCGTTGAGCAACGTGATAAATGCCCTGAGCTCCAGTACTGGTGGAAGGCCAGGGCTGCAATTGAACTCCCGGGCACTTGGAGGTTATCACTAGTTGTGTATGCAGACCGTACATGGACGTGTCCGAGTGTAAAGGTCAAATCACTTCGAAATCAAGAGTAAGTAATCCTCGGTTCGGGAGATCTGTGCTGGATGGCTCTTCTGACCTTTTTCCTGATCGCATCGTCGCTACAACTGATACGGCCAGGGCACGCGTTATTGCCCTGTGTCGGTGTGCATCATGCAGCAGAGACATAAATGTATGCGTGACACTGCATGACCACGCAGACCGAAAATAGACAAAGTGATCATTGGATAGCTGCATGGCATAGCTAGTGAAGAGGAAAAGCAGAAGAAGCAGACAGCTGCAGAGACAAATGCTGAGATTGGGCATCTTTCACTTCATGCCTGGAGGCATGCAGCATCAGAAGCTAAAAAACCTTAGCCTTGCGAGATCTGCCTGCTGTGAAAGACATGGCTGACGGTCGACGCCCTAACTTGAGTCGTCGCTTGTGTACCTAGACATTCGGACTCATACAGCCACGATCATACGTTGCTTCCTTGCAGGCGTCGCGCCTTTGTGCCGTACAGGGACTCCAAGTTGACACGGGTTCTGCAGGAGCTTATAGCAAGCTTGGTGTTTGCTTCGATTTCGGACGCAGCTGCAAGGAGAGCTTGGGTGGCAATGCCCTTTGCACCATGATCGCAACAATAAGCGAGGCACCCAGAGCAGCCCCATGAGCACCGGGCAGCGTTTCACTCTTCCGCTGCTTGAAGCCGTCATAAGGCCCAGCAGAGAACAACCTGGAGGAATCCTGGTCGACTTTGCAATACGCAAAGCGGGCCTTCGTCTCGGTGATTAGTTACTGTACTACATGCTTTGACATGTCTGACGACATGGATCTTCGTATACATATATATATATATATATATATATACAGATATAGATTGTGTAAACGCAGGGTTCTACATAATGCAAAGACACAATGTCGACATGAGCCGGTGTTCTGCGGTGTACAGGCAGGCCTTGAAGTTTTGCCACACGCTTCTGGCTTTCCCAATGTTCAGAACGCCCATTTGCTCAGAAACCCCCAGCAAAGAGTGGAATGATACTTTATGAAGTCTGCAAGTGGCCGTCCTGGGTGGGCCGAGCAAGAACCCTGAACTCGTCCTGTCGTCACATGTTATCCACATCGAACGGCTCCGTGTATCTCCTCGCACGCCAGCCTACGTCTTGCTCGAATGGCTTTCCACACCCATGCCCCAAAGCAGCACCAGGCCAAAACCATCCGCGTGGTTGCGACCCGCAACGAGGAGACCAAGCAACGTCAGCAACTGGAGAAGGAGGCAAAGCTTATAGAGACTGCACAGGTTGCATTGTTAGAGCTTGTGTCGTTTCGCATGGAACTACATGTCACTCCAGCAGGTGGAAGCCTTGCGCCAACGATCGCTCGATGAGGTGCGGCCGAGTAACGCCCTTGCCAGGGCATTTCTTAAAGCATCGAAGGATCCTTATAGCTTCCCATGGTGTGTCTGCCTACGGCATGTAGCCGAAGCATTTCCAGGCAGGGCCAGTTGACGAGTTGGAAGAGAAACATCGCGCCGAGATCGAGGCGAGGGTTTGGAGTTTCAGACACTGTGTGCTGATTTCGGGGAAGTCGTGTGGAAGGATTTGGTTGGGTAATGCCGCTACTGTAGCTGCTCTTCACAAAGATCAGCTTGGTTCATTGCGGTTTGAGCGGCCCAGGTTCCATGAAGCATGGTGTTGGGTGGGTATTCAAGTTTGTACCGTGGAACTGGGCGAGACTTTCAACCTCGCACAAAGGGAGCCTGAATCTTGCCCAAGGTGACTGGCGGACACAATGGTACACTGCTGTACACTGTTATCCGAACGGCATGTGAAAAGATTTCGGCTAGTAGCGGCGGTTACACAAGACTCAGTTCGGCGCTCCCGCGAGTGTTGTAATTGCGGCGACTGCGAAGGAAGTTGATGCTTACACGCATCAACCGATTGGAAGAGAGGACGGCAGAACAGAGTCTAAGACAATCAAACATGAAACCATGGGTCAATCAAGCCGCAGCGTCAGCTTTAGAAACAGGTGATGTTCGTGGTGCTGTCTGAAGTGGCGACAGATCCCGGTTCGCGCTTCATCCATGGCTACTGCGCAGGCTCTTGAAGCCTTCATGCGGCAGACGTGGGAGGACGGAGCAGTACTGAGCAGCAAATTTGGTCTTGAAGTGGTCCTTCTTTGGAGGACAAGCAGCGTCTCTCCAAAGAGCACGAAGAGCAGAGGGAGCGGGCTCGGCTCGAGGCCTGAGCCCTGCCCTGGAAAACCTGGGGGCCTGGCGGTTTTTGTTTGCACAGCAGGTCCAGAAGGCCCTGGAACAACGACGCGGCGAATTTCGCCGCAGGCATCTGCACTTGCGCCTATAAAGCGCAATGCAAGTTTTCACGCTGGTGTCCGCGAAATACTTCGAGTATACTGTGTCGTTGCAAGGCTGGAAGGTCTGGAGAAACTTCAAGACATCTCGGTGACTTTGCAGTCCCGACCCCAGTCCCTGGCCCGGCATGCCCGACCCAAGCCGAAGGATTATAACAGATTGAAAAGGGAAGGGCCTTTTCTGGAGAATCCGAGACTTCGGTCCCTCGTGTTAGGTCCTTCGTGGCAACGGGAACTGCCTCAGAGCTTTGTCCCGGCTGGCCGGACAGACTTGCACGGAGCCAAGGACCACGATATCACAAGCGTGGCAGCTTTATGGAGACTCCTGGTGCATCTGGCGTCGCCACAGGTTTCTACTTTGCGGTCTGCGACACTCCAGTCCCAGCTCCGGTCTGCACTTGACCCAGGTGTGAAACGGCTGAGTCTTTCTTGCTAGCACTGGGCAGATCATGTTCAGACGGAAAAGGTCGAGCACAGGCAGGTTTGTTTCTGCTGTACACAAGGCCCGACTCTACAAAGAAGGTGTGGTGGCCGACTTCCGTCAACTCTTGGCGCGGGTCGAACCGCCACCTTTCACACGAACCCATGTGTACTTCCATCAAGCATTGATCCGTAAAGCACTGACATGACAGGACGCCGACGATGCAACGGCAGCTCTTCTACTCAGCCAGGACAAGTGTAATCACTAGGATCTCCAGCGCTGTCAGTGGAGAGTGGCAGATCGTTGCAGGCGGATGCTAAGCTTCAGATCCTGGTCTGGTCCCCGGCACTCCGCCAGCTCTGGGTGTCGATGTTATGATGTGTTAGCACGGACACAAAACGGTGGCCAACTCTCCAGCAAGGCCAAGGAACTTCACGTCCACGCCCGAGAGATGCAGAAGGGTTTTCGCAGCCCATGGCCTGCAGTATCTGACGGGATGTTGCGCACGAGCGTGAGCATTGGATCTCGCTGTCCACTCATTCTCGGGTGGCTTTCGAAGACTCAGCCCAATGCATTGGTGCCGGTAGACTGGTTAGTGGACTAGGTTTGCGACATGTCAGTCATGCATTGGCGGGCAAACGTGTCATTGTGGCATCACATGGAATTCTGGTCGAGGGTTTCCACACTATTTCGTCCATCAATCCTTCGCACACGAAGCTGTGTGAGACTTGTCATGGTCACCGACGTGTGCTTCCGGCGACCCGCTGGGCTGTTTTCAACTTGCGAGAAGCTTTCATGCTGAGGCATTGCAGTCTGCCGAAGCAGACTTCAAAGGTCAGATGTGTGGATGCCTTAGAACGCCATTGGTTGAGGGTCGCCGACATCCTCAAGAGCCAGTGTGACTTAGGCACTGTCAGCGCGGAGATTGCCATCAATCTGCATGAGGCCGGAGGCTACTTCGAATTTTCCACAGGCAGTGGCCCGGGATTTTGGAGCTGCGAGCCTCTGGATACTGGTAGTATAACTATCTGTTCGTTGGAAGGCGCGAGACACTCGCACCTGCGATGACGGGGAGGCCATGTCGCTAAAACGTGATGTTGCACGTCCATGCAAGATCTTACATGCTCATTTGGGGTCGACATGAAGCGACGTGCGACTTGATCTGTCGACTTCCGACAGGCGCAAGTCACTGCTGAGGAGCGTTTGGCTCTCCTTGCACTGGCGGGAGTCTCGGCCAACTGGCCTGTCCCGGTGTTTTGAAGAGGTTGTGCTGGATGTGCGTAAGTTTGTGCCTGCTCGTCCCAGGTGCGAGAACAGCTCCATCAACACTACAGGAGCTTCTCCGAAGACTTCCTGAAAGAGGTTTGGATCCCTTTGCCCACAAGCTTCGTGTTTCTGTTGCGGGACAAGCATGTCGTGTAGTGCATGATATTTCGTGCAATGCCACTTTCTGCTTGGTTCCGAGAGCCGAAATGCCTGTTTGGAGGTGGCATCCCTGAGCCTGGCAAAGGACTTGTCTCTCGTGAACGACCGCTGGGCACTCGCGATTGAACCTGAAGAATGAGGTGTTGCTTTGTGTGCATACTGCCCGCCGGCTTGGCCGGCTGGCTGGTTGCAGATAAACAAACACATGCACATGTATATGTATGTATACTATATACTCTCTCTCTCTCTCATATATATATATATGTGTGGACATGCGTTTGTGCATCAGTACGTCTACATGATTACATGTCACGTGGCAGGTTCGAGCATCACCCGACAAGGAGCACGAGAGTTTCAGGAAGTTTCAATTCTGGGACCGTAAGAACCCTCGCAGTTAGAGTGTGGAGGCTGTACAAGCCTGATCCAAGGTTGCGGTGCCGCAGATCCCGTCCATGAAGTGGAGGTGAAAGCACGGTTGTGCTCGACACCTTCAAAACTCCTGATTGACGTGTTGGAACCGTTCAGAGGCTACTGAAGTTCTTCAGCTTTGCAGAGGGTGACACATGAGAGTCCAGCCGTTCGAACAACCGCATATTCCCTTTTGCAGGCAGGATAGTAGCTTCGTAAGAGTAATCCTGTACGAACAGCAGTAGCAGCCAGCGATGAGAATGCATTCCACAGGGCTGTGGGGCGGACATCTTGCCGCTGCCACTAGGACTGGCCGCGCCCCTGACTCAGATTCCTTCTTCAGGCTGCATGGTGGATCTGGGCAAGCGTTCACTTTTCCGATGCGATGCCTGCATACGGTAGCAAAACTTTGCTTGAGGTGTGATGTGGAGGACAACAGCCTAAGCGCTTCATCGAACTCTCACTTCGCGAGCTGTGCCAGGCCGGCTGCACCGCAGTTGGTTTAATCCAGAATCTGGAAACCTGATCCCCGGACTCCATACATGGGATCATGCATGAAAGAGTCCAGAGACATAGCGCCGATGTCGAGGCTGCATCGCAGCCTTTGCATGGGTGGCTGGAATGCCTCCGAGGCCACAAAGGACGAATTCCTGGAGGACCGAAGCATGCAGAAAGCATTTTGTAATTACGAGCACGTGTGTCTTGCTACATAAGGCATAAGATCTCGACAGGTCGACCTGTCGACGGACGGCTGCAACCAGCAGGCTCAGCCGTTTGCATTTATAGGCTGCGCACAGTTCGGCAAAGCGAACACGTAGACCGCAGGTCCTAGCCGGCGTGGCGCTGTCGAAGCCTTATACAGTTAAGCAATCCGGCAGTATCGGGATCATGTTAGAGAGCGGCGGGGGTGATCTCGGACGGGGTCGGGTTGCCAGGCAGGGAAGACTTCCCTGCAGCGGGCATTGGCAGCAGACCCACAGCCTTCTGAAGACGGCGCTTGGCGATCACGAGGCCGGAGTGCACATGCTGCACATGCCGTTCCACGTCTCACTACACATGCCCGTGTCACACTGGGAGATCCAGCGAGGCTCTGCGACCTACCACGGAGCGCACCTTCCTGCGGCCTCCCGTGCGCTGCGTCATCGAGGCAATCGTTCTGCCAACGGCTAGCCTCGTACAGGACTCTGGCACTAGCTTGTGGTTCAGGAAAGTTTCTGAAACCTTCCTGTGCCATGTACCTGTATTTTGCATGAGTTCTCAGACATGCTTGCAAACCCGAACACCTGCTGAGCGGCTCCTTGTGCAGACCTTAAGCCGTTCGTTGACACGCCAGTAAGCCAATAAGGCCCATAATCCTTTGACAGCTTTGCTGGATGGGGATTATGAGACTTAGAGTAGAGACGGTGGACAGTGGCGCCAGGCCGAGGCGTCTGGTTTTCGAGGTGACTCCAAGATCGTGGTCACGATATCGGTGAATGAGTGGTGTTCGGTACCCCCATAGCCCCGAGCAGCAAGCATTGGAAAATGTAGTCCAGCATGCGTCATGCGCTCGTCCACTTACATGGGGCATAGATGCTAAACTTGCGTGGTGTCCAGTTTGCCGTTGCCATAGCATCACTCGGTACTTCGTGTCACTACTTGTGGCTGGCCTTACGACCAAATCCAGGTGCACACCATGACTCGCCGCTATTCTGTGAAAGCGGGGAACGGTCTCCGATCTACTTCCTTTTTGCCCCCGGAGTTGCCCTGTCCGGTGTGCTGCTGTTCCTCGCTGGATGCGAAGCTGCAAACGAATATGAAGTCGCCTGTAACCTTTGGACACTGGCGGTGGCGCTGCGGATCTTTGCTGCATGTGCGGCCTTCGGTTTAGCGGGCATGGGCTTGGTCACAAACCCCATGAGCCGCTCCTTCCATGATCTGGCGACCTATGCATTCGTGGGAGGCGCGGCCCTACTGCTAGTACTTGGTATAGTGGCATCTGCTTGTCTGAAGGTATATTCCGCGTATGAGCAATCCAGTCTTGCTGTTTTGTCCGTTCGGCTCGTGCTGCTGGCACATGCCTCGAGAAAGGCCTGTGAGTTCATGGGGAAGTATGGTCAAGCCATGGCCATGGTAAGCCAAGCTGACCATGGAGGTGATGCCGACAGACCAACCGTGGATCGAAAGGTGATGAAGCGACTGCTGACACAAAGTGCATTCGCTCAGTATGCGGCCCTTGCGTCGCTGTGCATCTCTGCCGCTCTCCTGTGCCCCTGAATTATGGACGACCACGAGTAACAGCCCGCCGACCTGGCAAACGTCTGCGACAGACAAGAAGACAACATGACAAAATTCGACTCCGCCAATGAGCTTCGAAGGCCGGACGCAGACAGGTGCTCGACAGCTTGGCAAGAGGTAGACCAGGTAGATGGCATCGCGATGATACGCAAAAAGCTGTTCGAAGCTTCATATTATATTATTATTGCACAGCTTTCCTCGTTCAGGTTGGTTAGCAAGGTTACCATGAAATGCTGCCAGGTAGCCACGGCATTGCAGAGCCGCAGCGGATCAAAGACCACCTCGAAGGAGCAGGCATGGTGTACACACTGATGTTGCCTTCTTGTAGGAAGCCTCATGCGATACATGTTCCACCCGCGGTGAGTTAACGCATTGTCTATTATGTAGTGACAGCTCTTTTGGCAGAAGACGCTCAGTTGTTGGGGCGACTGACAAGTGCCAACTCGCTGATGTCTCGTGACAGGAGGCCATTGACTATGCAGCCATGACCAAGGAGGCAAAGACAGATTTTCTGACAAGGCTGGCCTGCATCCCTAACTTGACAGTACTCGACGTTGTTGCGGTACGGAACAGGCTCATCCAGGAAGCAGCGCGCTTCTTCAAAGCTGCAGACCCAGCAGAATTGGTACCCAAATGACATGTAAACTTGTGCAAACTTGTGTAAAGACACCGCGCGCAGCTGCCTGCTGCCTCAGCTTTGACTTGCTTCAGCCACAGCTAAAGCATGGCTGAAGCTCCGCATGAGCGGAGTGCGGAAGGATGTGATGGGTCCCGGAAGCGCCAGAGAAGCGGCGCCGCCGCAGGGTCTGAGCTCCGACGGCCAGGCGCCGGATTGAGCCGGAACCGCGCATTTTGCACGGTCTTCGCCTCCGTCCATTTCTATTGCACCTGCCAAGATCGTGAAGATATATGTAATGCACCGCTCTTCGGCATACTGTAGGCAAATGCTTGGTTGAGCGCAACCGAAACGCCCGTGCTCGAGCTGTAAGCCCCAGTCCATTACAGACGTTTGACCGGATCGTCGTGAACTGTTCTGTACTAGCATTACTAGCAGGGAACAAATGACTATCGTCTGGCAGACCCGCTGCTGTCAGGCGGAGGGCCCGGAGCCCCTGAAGCTCACTGCCCAAGATGTTCTTTCTGGAAGGTGCCACTGCAATTAGTCACTAAGTAGTCACGACGAGGTACCCCATGCTCTGGCACGCACTGTCTCTATGTAGTGCGCAGATCGCAAGTATGCATGTACCATAGCGGCAGTAGAACATGCACATTACCTCATTACCCGCTTTGCCATGGTCGAAGCACCTTGAACGGCGATGTGGGCAGGAATTGCGGGGAGACCAACCGCCTGTTGCAGCTGCTGGCCTGGCGATGCCTCGGCCGGGGACCCAGGAAGAGAGTGGAAGCACAAGAGGCAGTTTCCTGAAGCTTATATTTACCTATATAGGCATAGAGGCTGAGCAGTGAGCGAAACTCCTCAGGGTCAAATGCCAGACGACTGCAAGAGATATCGCGGACTGCAGACTCCAAACTACCTCAACGACGTCAGAGACTGAGCATCGGCAATCCCTTGCTGACACAGAAGGTGAGGATGCAACGGGCCAGTGGACGCGCCAGTTTCGCCTTCAGCCGAGGGCTCGGAGGACAGACGGCTACATTGCCATAGCACGGTCTTGAGTCTGATGTCGCTCAGATACGGATTCCGAGGTATCATGAACCCCAGAAAGGGTGGCTGTGGTACGTTTGGGCCTCAGGAGCCATGTGGCATACAGCTGACAGGGGAGGGCAGCGCTCGCCGATGCGAAACACAACCACCAAAGTCACCAAAGTGCAGTGTTTTGGATGCCTGGACAGCTCTGACAGCTAAGGCCGGAGATGAGGGCGAGCACGTGTTTGAGGCCAATACTGATGCCCACGCAGCCGAAAGCTTGGAAACGTAGACCTTCTCCATTTATCCCTCGCTTTTTGAGCAGTTCACAGGGTGGTTCTTGAACCAAACATGGGGTCCGTAGCTGGAGAGTTACGTACACTACACACTCAAGCTTGAGGCACTTTTCGTGCAGCTGCCCCTGCCGGTTTCGGCCGGGAGCCTGAGTGTGAACTGTTTTCAAAGGTGGGCCTTGGGAGCTCATCTGAGAAGCCCGTCTGAGGCAAGCAAGCTGCGCATTTGCCCGTTAGCTTGGCCTTGGACTGAGGGGCGGCACAAGTTTAGTTAAATTGGGTCTCGTCATATTGCCATCTCTGCTGTTTCGCTGCATCATGCTTGAAGGTGTCATGCGCGTGTGCCAGATTCAATTTCAGTTCCCTGAGTCTTGACCGTGCTGCAAATGTAAGTCAGGACTTCGGGAAAGTCTGCTCGTGTGAGGCACCGTCGGCCAGCGTTGCGAATCGAAGTCTTCGCACTGCGCTCGGAAAATCTTGATGTCAGGCAGTGCGGAGACAAGTGAAGTCACCGTGAATCTTACATGCTTGTCGCACTCCCGCGACACAGATGTGGGTGTGCCAGGTCCTGCCGTCGGAAGTCCGGCAACGAGCACCTGAAATCTTCCAGGGCCTTCAAGCCCGGGCCCCAGAAAGGGCAAACAGTCACTGCATCGCCCAGTGCAGTTCGGGAATGTGCGCGCTAGTCCCGGGAAAAAGTCGAGGACTTGAAATGACCTTACATCATCAAACGGGAGTGTCACTGCATTCGATCGACCAGCGAGGCTCAGATCCAGCTGGGAAAGCAGGCTGTCGGAAGATTCAAGCTGAGGGTGGAGGCTCGCTGGCGGTTTCCAGGAGAGGAGAGGGACGGCATACTGCACACTGGACCGCGTCGGCAGGCCAACATGCGCTGGCTCCTGAGATACTTTGGAGATACTTTGGCCGACTTGCCAATCTACCCTCACAGGTCCCTCGCTAGATCCGTGCTGAGGCGAGGACCAGCTTGCAAAAGAGCAGCAGGTGACCTGGCGGGATAGGCGGCTACAATGCTGCAAGCAAGAAGCGGCGTTCGAGTTGTGGAGTTGGAGAGGCTGATCTGCAAGGTTATCCGAGGCCAGTGAGTAGGGACCAGGGACTCTTCAGACCTGCGATGCTCTCATACAAGCGGGGCTTTGGAGAGCCTTACCGAGAAGCTGTCGCCCCAACCGTGCGGCTCCGAGAAGTCTAAAGCACATCTCACCCTCAGGTGCACGAGCGTGGCGCGTTGCAGCGTCAACTGGAAGAGGCCTTGGCACGGGCAGCGGGGACTCCCAGCAAAGGGTGAATCCGATTTGTGGGGCTTCTTGCCCCCAAGCCTGCCTAAGGCCGCGTCAGAGGCGCAGCTGCTTCGACTGAAGGCAGACAATGAACGTCCGTCGCCCAGTGAAAGAAAGACCAGCCCCTGCAACAAAACCTAGTGGTACCCAGCTGCTGTGCAGAGGCTTTTGCAAGATGGCATATTTTGAGCTGGATGCTTTTCGCATAGCGGCGAAGGATGCAGCGACTGCTGGATAGTTGCCTGCTGCCTCATGGGCTTCATGCTAAAGGCAGGTGTCCTTGAACGGGTCAACTTCGAGTTCTAAGTATCGAGCACCGTTCCCTTCATCAGCTGAGTATGTTAAGATCTCTTGCACGGCAGTTGTCGAGACTCCGAGGTTTGCAGCAGCAATTGGACATCCGCTCAGCAGAACTCTGCACTGCAGAGGTGCGTTGTGCCTGCGAGAACGTGCCGCGCAAAGCGCAGCATGCGCCGCACGGTTTGCGATGCTGTGCCTGCTGGAGACCTGGACTGCAGGAGGCTCGCCGCAGCGCCGAAGAGCTGGGCAGGGGGCCCAGGGGCGCAAGGGAGCCTGGGTGCAAGTGCTCGCCACGAGGACTCTATGAGGGCTCACAAGCTTTGCGATTGCTTGACGATCACGAAAGCTAGCTCTTTGGAGCTTGCGGGAGCTGTCGTTTACAAATTACTTCCTAGGTAGTTCCATGGGTGAAACGCAGGGTCCACCCAGTTGAAAGGCTTTTTCAGTGAATTTCGGTGTTGGGAGGGGGGTGGAGGGTTCTACCCCCGGACCCCCGCCTGTTTGCTCGATTCAATCGCTCCCCCGCTGTCTAATGAAGGGGGGTGCTCCCCCACCCCCCTCCCCTGAAGGTGTCCCTCCCCCCCCTCCTAGAAGGTCCGGACAAGCGGATCAAACGTGATCTCGATATGCTACGGAACGCTAGAATGCATTCATTCAACTTGGAGCCACCCTTCAAGAACTTGCAGGCAGCCAGCTGGATTACAATCCTTACTTGTCATTGCATACAGAGACTTAAAGTGGACTTGAAAATTTCGACCCCGAAGTTAAACCTGAAAACCCAAATCTCGACCTCTAACCCTAAACGCTTGCGCCGTGTTGCTTCTAGCTTTCGTGGCCATCGTCTCAAGTCTTCTTGCCTGCGGGATGTTGCATCCGTCTGGCTGCGTATGCCGAATATCTATGGCAGGTTTAGAAGACGTTTCGATCTCACGGATTGACCTACAACCGCTACAACAGGTTTCCGTAGCAGGAGCAAGCAAAAAAAACGAAGTTGCACCACCCAGCCAGCCCCCACCACCCTTGCCACCACAGCCCAGAGATTCAGCATGTTAGGATCATTTAGGACGTTTTGCCGATGTTGCCACAATCTGCCACGTGTTTCTACAAAGCAGCATGGAAAACAATGGAATCGCAAGACTTGCACGCTGGCTGCGAACATCTTTGTCAGCACCGTGGAACTCCTGGAATGCGCCGTAGCTTCACGGGCCCTCCTCCGCAACCGCATGGAGCCCGCCCATGCCACATTGAGCAGCCAGCCGGATGGCATTGGAATTTCTTCTAGACTCTAGATAGATTCGACAGGGCTGTTGAGATTTTCTGAAGCACTGTGGTTCACTGACGTCGTTTGGTATAGGCGTTGGAGGCTTTGGACTCGGGGCCTTCATGCGGTGTCAAGGTGATTGCACTGATACTGGCCGCCATCATCTGTGGTAGAAGGACTGTATAGGAGATCTCGCAGCTAGCAGCTAGCAGAAGTTCTCAAGGCCCACATGATTGTCCAAACAATGACAGCGTGAAAAGAGAACGTGGGCCAGCAGTGAGATACGTCCTGACTGTGCCGGTAAAACACAGACTTGTAGCGGCAGCTCAGCCTTCGCATGTCCAAGCCTGGTTGAGAGGAGCGATGGGTTGGTTTAGAGCAAGCAGTTGCAGGCGCGAGCTCCCGGGCCAAGCTGCCTCCTATCCTGTCTCCAGATGGTTCGCCGGCTTCTTCCCAGCATTCTTAAGCATCATGAGGGTGCCTTGACTCTGCACGCATGACGCGCTAACCTCGTAACTAAACGACCGCCAATCCTGCGAACCTGGACCAACCGCATGCTTGTGAGGTGAACATCGTTCTCCTGGGGCCCCCAGCCGGTGGGCTGCTTTCTGCAAGCGGTGCTTAGGAATTTAAGCAGGTATGCTTTTAAGTTCGAAGGTGCTGTTTGAAGCTTGCGCAGCCAGCAATCACGTGCAGCACTTGCTGTAGCGATTCAGGACCGGGTAGGATATCCCTTTTGTATCGGCCTCTGTAGTCTGGGATATCCAAATCTCCTGAGGTGCCTAGACATGCTGTCATGCTTTTGGCGCGAGGTGGCAAAGGCACTCAGGCCGGGTACCTGGCGGAGAGATACGGCATCTCGGCGAGGTGATTGTCTCGTGCTTTGAAGATCGCCATAGGTAACAGAGGGACGGGACGAATCTCGATGCTTGGATTTAAGCAGGAGGAATCGGGCCAACCGCTGATACAGCTTGTTTCCACCGTCAGGAATGGTGCACATTCCCATGGGAGATCTTCTTCGGGCAAGGGCCAAGTTCCTCCCCGAGCTAGGCGAGTTCATCTCGAACGGACGGCTAGCGGCTTGGTTCCAGCTATAGTGTTCCTGATTCGACGAACTTACACTGCACTATAAAGCCTGAAAGCGATGTGGCTCGGCGCTTCACATCTGGAGCTCACTGCAGAGAACAGGTGCCGGATGACGTGGTCGTCTCAGTGCTGAAGGCCGTAGCTGTGTTGCTGGCTTCTAAAGTCATATTGCAAATAAAGAGAAGAAGGCTTCCCTGCGCGCACAGGAGCGGCTTGCCGACAGCGACTGTGCCTCTAGAGGCGTGCGACCGGGCAGCAAGGAATTAGTCCATGGTGTGCCGGCAGCGGGTGTTCCTACTATCGTAAACCCCCACTGGCTATTGTAAGAGGTCATATAGTCTTCTCTACGTTTGTTTCTTTCCAGCAAGACCGAGGCTGCTGGATGGCTTCCCAAGAACTCGAGCCCAGGCATACCGCCTTGGGGGTCACACTTTGGGGTGTTGTTGGCTGCTGGGTTTGGATCCGAGGTCGCGCTGACATGATGTGAATGAGGTGCCGAAGGTTGCAGAAGACGGTTGTGAGAGGGAAAGTCTCCAACTAAAGGTAAGGCCGATCGGACAATCTTCTCGCTGTAGATTCTTTGGCTATGCGGTATCTTTTGTCGACCGGTAGCTCTTCAGGTGGCTCTTCGTGAGAGACCACTGTTCGTCGAATCGAGTTGATGCAGTCGCAGTCGAGAGCCCAATGAATCTGCAGGCATTAGAAAGCGCGGCGCGGTCCTATCAGCGAACGAGTTACAAAGTGCAGCCATCTTCCACCGTGTCGTTTCAGCCAAGGGCAGGAAGTCTTTGATTATCAATGTTCGAACCCATGTGAACGGGGGTAGTTTCACAGTCGCGTGAAATTGCACAAACAATAGTCAAGTCATCATTCCTCCGGCAGCTATTTTTCTCGCCGGCATGGAGAAGTTGCTCCCGCGCACTATCAGCTCCAGTTCGAAGCTCATCGATCTCGTTGGATCCTTCAGCGGGTTTGCGGTCACTTTTGACCTTCGCAACCTGTTGTTCGAAAAGTTGTGCTCGCGCAGCGAGCGGAAATATACTGGCCCACATCCCGAAGTCTCCCAACTTTCAGCGCGAAGCTGACTGAGCTTATATGACTTCGGGAAAGTCGAGAAAAATTGTCAAGAAGCCTTCAGCCAAGCATGGTCTTGGCAAACTCGTATGCGGCAAAGCTGGACAAGCAAGTCCGAGAATGTGTGTTTTTTTGGGATTCCTAGCACAGTCAGAGACTCCCAGCATTCACCTCAACATCCCCGACAAAGGTGCACATTGCTTATTTGGCTTATTTAGATTTGGACGTTGTGCGGCACCAAGTATACAAACAGCCCACGAGTGCACCCTTTACAGAGGCAAGAGGGTTTCCCTGTCATGGGTTGTGTGTTCCAGGCTTGTGCAGTCGTGGCGAGACCCCACGACTGCACAAGCAAAACAATTAAGCATCAGCCGCTTGAACTCAACATTCATGCGTTACTTCTTCCCAAACAAGCTTCAACTTCGAAGTCATCACGAAAGCCAGCTCTGTGGAGCTTGCAGGGTTTGTCGTTTACCAGCTCACCCGTAGCAGCAAGCCACTGTAGGTCACAAACAATCGGGTCCGTATCAGGTCCTTAAGCAACATGCAGTTGATGTGGGGAGTGAGGGGGCTGCCCGCACCACGGGTTCAACTTAACATTGAGGCTTGCACAAGGAGGGATTGGGAGTCACGTCCCTCACTCCCCCAAGCAAGGCGGCAAAAAAGCTCGTTGGCGAGTCAACCGACCCTTTCCCTGCTCGGCTTTCCTTCCGCTAGCTGTGGCCCTCTTCTGATGTGCAACGGCAATCCTGAGACGTGAGCATGGCTCTCCATTCCCGATTTTCTTTCGACGGTTTTTTATGTCACCAGTTGTAATGCTTGACAGCCGGCATGTCAAGCGAGCTAGTACACAAACGTGTAGTGTAGTACAACGTTGGTTTCAAAGGAACCGTCATGCCAGTAATAATCTCTACGTTCGAGGTTCAGACGAACTCCTTCGAATGCTAGCTTAACACATCGCCCGGCACGGTAAAGAGGAGTGTAGGAGTTCGGCTTTAATGGATCCCGACAACCACATAAAACAGAAACATGCACAGGCAGAGTCACTCCGGCGAGTCGGCGTGGAGATCTCGGCAGTGCTGCACCTTCAGGTGCGGTTTGCTGGGTCCGCGGAAAGCTTGGTTCGAGAGCAGGAAGAGCAGGGCAGTGGTTCAGGTTGCAGACGATGTCGTGGTGGATCGAATCGCTGGGCGCCGGATAGATCCGCTGAGCGGCAAGATCTATCACGTCAAGGCCGAACACCTGGGCTTCGATTGCATAGCAACCGACACTCTCTGCTTCTAATCGCCAAGCTGCAGCAGCACAGCATGTCCTTTAACCGGCTTTCCGGAAGAGGACAATCCGCCACCACCCGAGATTTCTGGCCGCGTGATCCAGCGCGAGGACGACACCCCCGAGAAGCTTCCAAGCTGCGACACACATGAAGAATGAGAGTACGGTTGCAGTCTTGACCGACGCGCTACTAGCCTTCTGCGCAACAAAATAATACCTTATGTCCTTATGTGTTGTTCCATGATTCCCTCATCTCTATTTGTAGAGCAGTCAAACACTGGTCGGTGCGCACAGCTGGAGATGCCCAGCCGAGGATCCGCAGGCGACTCGTGACCTATCATCAGGCGCCTCGGCTGAATGATTGGATCACTGCACGTGGCAAGAGGTGTGTGGGGTCGTCGGCTCATCTCGAAAAGTCTCGAACAAAGTCTTTCGCCTGCTGCGGTGATAGAGAAAGAGGCCTCAATCCAAAAGTGCCGAAGTCTAGCTGAACTACATTGAACCACATAGAAGCCGGCACGGCTGCATGTGGCGAGATATGCAGCATGTTCGC